GATATAACATGGGCTGATAGTAATCCTAGAGTTTTTGCTATCTTAGAAGCTTTCTATCCTTCTCAAGCTACAGGAGAAGCTTTATTTAATGTTCTTACAATGAATGGTCCCAATTCTGCACCAGCTGGCAGACTTCCGTGTACATGGCCAATGAATGAAAACCAAGTAAGATATACCCTCTTTTCTGTCATCTTTTTTTCTTTTTTTAAAAAAAATACAAACAGAACTACACATTGCCAAACATGGTGTCATTCTTATATCAATGGTTACGGTATAAGGGGGAATTAAATTCCAGAGTCACTGGTCAGATTGTTACCTTTGAAGTAACTTTAAAGGGAATATCCCGATTTCAAGAGAGTCTCAAAAACAAAAGTCGCAGTACGTATGAAATTTAAGCTCCAAAATATAGAGAGATGGTGTATTTACCTTCTCTCAAAATTACAGCTCAAAATATTGAGTCGTTTGGACGTGAACGTCAAAACTGCTTATCCGGACACGTAACCTTTTTAAGATTTCGGGTCAGTTTTTTTTCGTTGGGTCACCTGATAATCGATTCCCGTTCCTTGAGAGGTCTATATAGTGAATGACCCATGTGCTCTACTTGATAACGAAAGGTAAATTTCACCTACACATTATTTTTATAAAATAAAAGTCTGGTTTTATCCAGACACCGCATAATACAGCTTGGGACACCGGTCTCCATTTCCAGATGAAGACTGACGGGTTAAGTTGTTTGAAAACTTATCACAAATATTGAATTAGTTGCTCGGCCCTTAGCTAGAGGATTTTAAGGGATTTTAACACAAAATTAGACAGTTTTATTTTCCAAAAAATATCGGGATTAGCCCTTTAAGCTATTGAAAATATCGATTGCAAGACAACCCCTCTTCCTGTCACACATGATACCACTTTTTGTTCCTCTTTCAGATACCGCCCATGGTAAATTATTCTATGGAAGGTAGAACATATCGATATATTGACTATGATCCACTATATCCCTATGGTTATGGTTTATCTTATACAAGTTTTACCTACTCTAATCTACAATTTAGTCAGTCAATATTAGCAGGCAATGATGTAGAGGGATCAGTAGATGTTTATAATAATGGTCAAATATCAGCTGATGAGGTTATTCAAGTTTATATCAACTGGCAAAATAGCCCAGAACCAACACCTAAACTACAATTAGTGGATTTTAAGAGACAGTATATTATAGCCCAGAATAAAATAAGAGTAACGTTTAGAGTTAAAGGTGAAAATATGGCGGTATGGATGGAAGATAACAGTGGATGGATGGTTTATCCAGGTTAGTTTTCTAAGCAGACAAATAAAGGGACGCGAAATTGGTTAGCGAATGATGGAATACATTGGTTGCATAATACGATGATTAAATGCAATAGAGCTATAGGATATGAATTTGAGGATAAATTTAATTATAAATTGATAACATATTTCAGAACAGGATGAATTTGATATTTATATTTCATTACAATATTGAATATTTGTTGGTGTTTTTATTTCAGGACAGTATGGATTATTTGTTGGTGGTCAACAACCAAACCAAAAGAAAACCGCTGATTCTAACGTTTTATCAGGCACATTCACAGTTACTAAAACCAGATTTCTCGGGAAATATTAAATAGTTTATAAGTACTGAAAAGCATAAGAATGTCTGCTTAAGATTTTTATCTTTAGAAATGTATCTTGAAATTAAAAATAAAGATATTGTTCGGATTGATATTTTATTTTCTGTGAATTTCCCGCGTTAATTTCCCTTGTCAGCGCTGCAGGATAGGACGACTAACCTAGGTCATGTGCACACATTGACTTGCAGTAAACAGAACCCTTTACAGTTAGAATTCGCATTAATAGTAAACCGTAGCACCACTGTTCTGGAATATTCCCGTCTTTAATAGCGCGGTCGGTACAAACACCGTGTATGTTAAACCTACTTTTTCATTTCAGTTATTTGCGTATCGTTTGGTTGTGTAGTTTATGGAGGGTTATCTGTTCATCCAGTACAAGTGGACACAGATCACCAAATATTCCTACGCCGTCACCCACGAAACAAGGGCCAAAGCTATTTTTAGTCTTCCTCTCCCCTTTCCTTTTTCCCCCTTTTGCATGGCGATTTTTGTTGACTTTTTGGTGTAGAATTGAGGAAAAGGGTTTGAAAATACATTTTCTGCCAGGTTTTGGTGAATATTCATAATTTTGATGCGGAAGGATACAAGAGTTGAGAGGTTGGTTACGTTGAAATGTAGGGCCTGAAATTGCATGTTAACTTGTCTCTACTTCCAGCTTGTGTATCTCAAGTTTTTCATGAAGAACCTCATACGTGCTTTTGGGCAAGTGGTTGCCACATGTTGCTCCATCTGTGGTAGAAAGGATTCTACCCAACGAAAATTTGGGAAAAAGTTAGAGCCGGTCTAAGATACGAGAATTAACATTGGAGTCAATGGGAAATCTTTAGTGATCTGTGTCCAAGTGATCAACAGGGGAGCTAACTGCCACATAACAGCGTTTATTTACTATAAAAGTGCACGAGGGGGGGGGGCTTGATCGCTAATCAGGAGGGCTTGGGTTCGCTCCCGGTGTTGCCCGAGAAAGTTTCTTGAGATTTCCGGGCTGGTTTCCGTTTGTCAGTGTTGCAAGTGCACTTAAAAGAACCCTTGATAGTTAGAATTCAAAATCAGAGTTTCCCCTCGTATCACTTTGTGTGGAACAAACTCGGCTTCTTCAGTCCAAGTCGATACAGAAGTACGTTAAACCCATTACATTTAATTTCTAGAATAATGCAAGTTTGAAAACAAAATTAAAGATTTTTTGCCTAAGTACGTAAAGCCATTACATTTAATTTCTACAATAATGCAAGTTTAAAAAAACAAAAATAAAGGTTTTTTATAATGTAAAAGTAATAACAAACCGCTAGTAAATATAGACATATTAGCAATTTTATTATATCATTTATTTAACTGGATGGCGCTGAGATTTTTCTGAAAACAAAACAATGACAAATTATTGAAAATAAAAATTGTCTAGTTACTATCATTAGATGTGAAGAAATTTGGTGCGGGAAATTAACAAAATAGATTAATTTTGGTGGATGTAGTGGATTCATACACTGTATACGCGTTCGTAATTCTTGGATCCCGTTTTCTACGAAGTCATATCACACGAAAGAATGTATGTATATGTCTAACAAGCATTCTGAGAGTATTGCATGTACCTACCGGCGCCAACTAATTTTACAATTCATGCATGAATGTAATGCAAATACTGCGAATGCATTTGTGTGAATATATAATCCAAATACGTATAGATGATATAAAATCTGCCACGTGTATCAAAGTTTAAACTAAAATATTTCTAAAGAACAGAATTGTCATTGATTCAGGGTCATACTTCTGCAAAGGATTAAAGGCAAACTTGATCTGTAACTCTACTAACCCTCAATGAAAAATCTTAAAGTTTAACCTCTAACTCAATATCATTAAAAGTCTTCGACATTGAAAACACGAATTATTTGTCAATTTAAATCAACATTGGTGTTGTTATCCAATCTTGAAAAGATGGTATTCTGATATCCAATATTTAAGACGAAATAAACATTTTACCATTGGTACACGAATCATGTACCATAATGCGTTTCAGCGCTATTTGTAACAAGGGACTCGAACAAAGAGGCTAAACATATTCCACAAGTCATGACAAAGGTGATGCCATATTCGTATCTGTAGAGCATGCGCAATAAATATTATCGCTGTAGACTGGAATAACCAGACGCTAGAGATTGCCATTCGATAGAGACTTCTGGCGTATTTCGCCGAACATAACTGATTTGAAATTAGAGTAAAAACGGAAACGATCGAATTTAAATCAGTTTAAATACATTAATATTACATTATTGTGTGCTTTGCGACCCATTTGTGTCAATTTCAAGGTCCCAAATATTAGCGATTTATCTCCTTTAAATCACCAAAGAGTCATATGCAACGGAATCTGCCGAAATGTAATCTGTAACTCTGCTATATACAACAATGTACATAATTTCAATCAAATCTCTCATAATATTTAAAATTAAAATAAATCATGATCACAATTTTTTTACTGATTTTAAGTCAACAAAGGGTCATAATTCTTTATAAAAAAAATTAACTGAATTCGAACTTGATAATATGTATACCTACAGTATTGTATACCAACCTTCAATCAAATGTTTCAATGGGACTTTAGATGTTTTATGCACATAGGACCTGATCCGTATAGACTGATTATAGCACGTTATCCAGGCAAATAGACACATTAACATTCGAGCGAAAACACACGGCTATTAACAAAAACATCTAAAGTTTATTAAAAGGCACTTTCATTTTCACCAAGATATAATTGACATTGGATAATATCACACTTAATAACCCTATATTCTAATATCAAAACTCCAAACACTGGCGTATTTAGAGTATGGTTGAACTACTTAAACACTATAAAAACAATTGTACAACCTTTTATATGCAGTAATTATGCAAGATTATTATGCAATATTTTAGAACAATTACAAATTTCGGATTTCTAAGAGAATCAATGTTTATCCTCATAGTAAATTAGCGTTTGTTAATCATTTTATATTCTCAACAAAATATTAAACATAAATCGAAAATACAAAACAAATAGCACAATAATTATTAAATAGCGGAACTTTTTGAAATATATACAACAGATAAAATTTGAATTCCTCAAATCAAACTCAGCGGTATTAAACACATGATTATACATACCCAACAATATCATCATTAAGTTGTTCAAATTGCCTGACAAATAAACAAATAAAACGGCAGCATAATCGTATTAGTAGGAATTAAAAGCATTGTATAAAAAATGCTTTGTTCCAAAAGAGTCTTAATTCTTCTTTTTTTTCAATGATGAAATGAAGTGCTTTTGGAATGATCGTCCACTTGACACGTCACAGTGATACATTCCACATTTTGTGTTTTTAGCTTTTGAGTTTGATAATAGATATCTTGTCACATTATTTACATTCAATGTATATGGCCACTAGTCGAGAGATGGATTTAACAGCACTATCCTTAATCCGGCTGTCAATGACAATCACAGAGAAAGTGTATCGGTCAATTGATGTTTATATATAAATATTGCGCGACGAACGCATTACACTCGACATACAGCTGACAGAGAATGCTACGATTTAGTTATGTAAAATAAGAAATCAGTGTTGGGGAAAAGATTGTCATAAATAAGTGTCTATCTTTTAATTCTTATAAATATGTTATGTAGGGACACGAACATAGGCAAAGAACCAAAAGGTTGCCGTGCACCACCCCAAGAAAAATATCAAAAACATCAAAACATCAATTTTTAAACCGTTGTTTCCACATTTTGACCTCCAGGCCGCTTTTGGTCGTTGGCATCCAGTGATTCGCTTGGCATTAAGATCAACTACACGATCTTCATTCCTTTCTGACATGTCCTTATTTCTGTGGTGAAAGTGCAGCATGCTAATGGTTGCGAGCACAGTCAACCCACTAAGAAGTAATAGACACGTGATATATGTTGTGATGTATATCGTATTAGACGATGTCCGCGGAAGGTTACTGCTGACAGTCGTGAGAAACACTGTCAGCGCCAGCAGGACGGTTATTGAGAATGAGGTTTTCTCACCAGAATCATTAGGTAGCCAAAATGTCAATAAATTCAGTATAGACAACATGATTATAGGAACCATGAAATTCAGAACAAAAAACATATGTTGTCTTTTATATCTCAAACTTGTCCTCAAAATGGATAGTTTATTTCCGTCAAAGGTGTGACTGAAGACGTTGACAGAACTGTTCACTGCCTCCCATTCACCATGGCGTTTAAAAACAGAAAAAATTGATAAAAAATCACGGGCTTCGAGTTGAACTTCTTCAAATGTGTATTGCAATGGTGAAAAGGTCAGATTGCACTCCTGAACATCAAATGGGAATCGTTCAACGTTCATTAAACAAGCTACTCTCAATGTTTTAGTTGGGTGCCAGCTGATTCGGCCGTCATGAAAAACAAATATTCTGTAACGCTCGTCACCAAACACGTCCGTGTCGTCAAGAGAACTATATAGATCCAAATACGGTTTCCAAATATTAGTAGACTCGACTTGCATCTTTTGTATCCCCCCATAATGTTCTGGTTTCCACTGTAAGAATTCATCAGTCCATGATATATTAAAGAAACAAGACAAGGTAATAAATTGTTGAACTTCATTCACTTCAATCAGATCAGAGACAAACAACTTTAATCCAACGATAGTAGGTTCACTTTGGTTGTATTGTGGCCTAATGGCCGCACTGTAGTTTGAGAAGAGGATCTTTTGTAGAGTCCTTAAATTGTCTGATGTCTTTGAATGAGCAGTCTGGCCCCAACAAAAGAGGAGCAGAAACGTCAAACCACAATGCACCATGCTGTTAGTATCTTAAATATCTTTCTACGTGATATCCACTGATGCAAGACAATACAGAATAGCAATGTACTCTATACAGGGATTACTATAAATTTATAATGTTATCATGATTTTTTTTTTCTTTAAATAAAAGAGAAATTTTAGCCCTCTGGGCAAGAATCACGATATTACCACGGAAACATATAAAGCATCATTAATATCTATATTACATGTTGTAACTTACCAATAAATAATTAAGCAAATAATAAAGTTAATGCTAGTTAACCCAAGGGGACATTACATAATGTTAAATCAATAGTTTGTCATGATTATGGCACGAAAATATTTATTATATATTAACATTAGTACGGTAATGCCTAAGCACGAGTCATTCTGTCGATGTTTGCCATAGTAACATCAATAAATCATCCTAGAATTGATACATGTATATCGAAACATATAAATAGGGGGTGGTGTTATTTTACAAATGTTGATGTTCAAATTCGGGGCCTCCTGCAAAAGTTGTAGTTACCCTATCCATGTATGAACATATTTTTTTTCTGACCCCCCCCCCCCAACCACCTGTACACACCCCTAAAGATCTTAGGGCTTAAACTGAGGTTGATAATTTAGATTTCATTATTTTTCTCTGTATAAACCTAATCTTGACTCTATATTAGGGGTTTCAGGGTCGCTGAGTTCATTGGAGACGTTAATTTAAGTTTTGAAAATCTAAAATGGCGGAAATCCTAGATGGCATTAATATTTCCACAAATTCCATACGTGTTGATATTTTCTAAGTGTGTAAACGACCTGTCTAACATTTTACTGTTACATTTTCTTGTCTATAAAACTTTTTATCTATACTTACCTATATTTGTCTATACACTCACTGTGCTTGCAGACTAAAGTAATACCGTAATGACCTCACCAAAACCTAAAGCAACTCGCTCTTTGGTGCGAAAACAGTTGGGGGGGGGGGGGGATATTGTATATAGAAACAGCTGGATTTGCCAGTGGACTCTTTCCGTTCAAAAAAATATCATAACTAGCTGGGCTGGTAAAAGTGGACGTTATTAAAATGACGCATGCTCCGTTTTGGCATATGTGTACTTTCAGAACATTGATTATTTTGCAACGTACAGTATATACTATCACTACAGCGGGGTTAAGGGGGTCGGAAAAAAATAAAAATAATATGTTCATACATGGGTAGGGTAACTACACATTTGGAGGGGGCCCGATATATTTAACACCGCCCCTAATAAATTATTCATCCTAGAATTCTAGAATTGTTGCATCCATCGAAACACATAAATTATTCATCCTAGAATTGTTACATCGAAAAAAAGTAATTATCCGTGCTAGAATTGTTGATATGTTTATGGGTCTATCAAATTCCATAATTTTATACTCGACAACAATTTACCATATTTTAAACAGCTTATCATTACACCCGTCATTCAATTAAATATAAACACTATTTCCATTTCATAAATCAGATCATGTTAGGTGGGTAAAGATGGAAGTTTACGCATTCTTAACCATACCATCCGCTTCATGCTATGGGTTCTCATGCACCAAATTGGCTAATAAAGTTGGGCATACGTCATTCAGTGTGTTATAAGGGAAATTTTGTCCGGACAGCGGTACTACTGTCTACGCTTATTTCAAATTCAAACGGGCAAATATTAATTTATAAATAAAGTGTACAAGGGACATCGGCTTTTTGTTGTATCCAAAATCAACTCGAAAATAGGAAATTAGGAAAAAACACACGGGCCATACTTTATACCGGAAAACACCGGAAAACACCATTTTATACTGAATACCGGAAAACACCGGAAAAACACTAAATACCGGAAAACATCCTAAATACCGGAAAACACCCTAAATAGGTAACCCGGAGCCTGTTCCTCTGTGTGCGGTTTTGTACCAAGTGAGCGCCGATGAAGGAAGGTCAAGGTCATTACGATGTTCGCTTTACAAATAGCCCCCCCCCCCCACTAAAAAAAAACCAAAACACAAATTCCGATTTTTTTTCTCCAAAATTTTGTTGATGCCTATTATGCTTTGAATGTTTTAAAAGACGCAATCAGTCTACCTCCATCATTGACCATATTTTATTTTGTATTTTAATTTTAGTTTTCAGTAAATTTCAGTAGATTTCAGTGTTTCAGTATTTCAGTAGTTTAAACACAGCCCTCTGAGGGCCCCGTTATATGCCGGTTGCGCCAGTCTCCTGATTCTTACTAGTAACGCTGGCATCGGGGTTGTACGAATTAGTGGAAGGCACGATTAGGCCAACTCCTCCCTAGGTAACAAAAAATCGCATCATAAAACAGCAAGTATCATCAAAAGCGAGTTAATAAATCTCTGAATAGTTCGAGTTGAAGTTCCAGGTTTAACCGCTATGTGTCCTAATCACCAAACGAAATGGATGCCACGCAATTCTCGGACAGGCTGTAATCTGAAAAGTGTCTATCCTTTCCAAGCGCTATCCATCTCGTTGGAAGGGCTAAAAATCTACTTGTTTCTGAGCTTACTTTCATTCTAGGGTCAAATATAATCACTTGAACCATAATAATATTCAACATATTCCATCATATTCCGAGGGCCGCACACAGGATTTTCTTCTGGGTTACTTTTCGAGCTTTTTTCCCCAACTCGTTGACCAGTTTTCCTTAAGAAAACCCCAACTTTCGCCCAATTGTCCATGAGAAAACTACATATTCTATCTTACTGCATTGAGGAAAGTGGTAAGCTGGACGTCTGTGAAAAGGGTTGATCGATAAATTTTCAAGGAAGCAATTGTTGTTTATGTTTGTGAAATAGAGGACTCTAGCCGATGAGGCTACTTTCCCCCCGAGAACCTCACTTGATCCAAAACCGCACACAGAGGGCCAGGCTCCGGGTTACCTATTTAGGGTGTTTTCCGGTATTCAGTATAAAATGGTGTTTTCCGGTTGTTTTCCGGTTGGTTTTCCGGTGTTTTCCGGTTGGTTTTCCGGTGTTTTCCGGTTGGTTTTCCGGTATATAGTATTGCCGATAACGGGCAGTGATAATAGCGCCCCTCGTTTTTTCCTAATTTCTTATTTTCGACTTGCATTTTGGCTTGTGTACCGTCTTGTCGACTTTCGACTTAGTCATATTTTTGTATTTATTGATGTCAGTAAGAAGGCGCCAACACGCTATACAAGCCAAAATGCAACTCGAAAATAGGAAATTAAGAAAGAACACACAGCGATAATAACGACTGCTCGACTTTCGCCTCGGAAGTTGTTGTAGTCTCAGTTTTCCCGGTCGCATTTAAATACGTGCAATCGGGGCTCACACTGTATTTCATTCTTTTCCGTCAAAATGGATAATAATTTTTATATAAAAAAATGTTCATATTTTTTTTCCGCCAACTGGGATATTTTATCTGCCAAAAATGTCTGATAAAAAAACACACCTTAGGCTACAACAGTTGTGTTGTTATCGTATCTTGAAAAGATGGGCTTCTGATATCCAATATTTAAGACAAAATAAACATTTTACCATTGGTACACGAATCATGTACCATAATGAGTTTCAGCGCCATTTGTAACAAGGAGGAGGCTAGACATAGTCCACAAGTCATGACAAAGGTGAAGCCATAATCGTATCTGGAGAGTATGCGCAATAAATATTATCGCTGTAGACTGGAATAACCAGACGCTAGAGATTGCCATTCGATAGAGACTTCTGGCGTATTTCACCGAACATAACTGATTTGAAATTAGAGTAAAAACGGAAACGATCGAATGTAAATCAGTTTAAATACATTAATATTACATTATTGTGTGCTTTACGACCCATTTGTGTCACTTTCTAGGTCCCAAATATTAGCGATTTATCTCGTTTAAATCACCAAAGAGTCATATGCAACGGAATCTGACGAAATGTAATCTGTAACTCTGCTATATACAACAGCAATGTACATAATTCCAATCAAATCTCTCATAATATTTAAAATTAAAATAAATCATAATCACAATTTTTTTAATGATTTTAAGTCAACAGAGGGCCATAATTAACTGAATCCGAACTTGATAATATGTATACCTACAGTATTGTATACCAACCTTCAATTAAATGTTTCAATGGGACTTTAGATGTTTTATGCACATAGGACCTGATCCGTATAGACTGATTATAGCACGTTATCCAGGCAAATAGACACATTAACATTCGAGCGCAAACACACGGCTATTAACAAAAACATCTAAAGTTTATTAAAAGGCACTTTCATTTTCACCAAGATATAATTGACATTGGATAAGATCACACTTAATAACCTTATATTCTAATATCAAAACTCCAAACACTGGCATATTTAGAGTATGGTTAAACTACTTAAACACTATAAAAACAATTGTACAACCTTTTATATGCAGTACTTATGCAAGATTAATATGTAATAATTTAGAACAATTATAAATTTCGGATTTCTAAGAGAATCAATGTTTATCCTCATAGTAAATTAGCGTTTGTTAATCATTTTATATTCTCAACAAAATATTAAACATAAATCGAAAATACAAAACATTAGCACAATAATTATTAAATAGCGGAACTTTTTTAAATATATACAACAGATAAAATTTGAATTCCTCAAATCAAACTCAGCGGTATTAAACACATGATTATACATACCCAACAATATCATCATTAAGTTGTTCAAATTGCCTGACAAATAAACAAATAAAACGGCAGCATAATCGTATTAGTAGGAATTAAAAGCATTGTATAAAAAATGCTTTGTTCCAAAAGAGTCTTAATTCTTCTTTTTTTCAATGATGAAATGAAGTGCTTTTGGAATGATCGTCCACTGGACACGTCACAGTGATACATTCCACATTTTGTGTTTTTAGCTTTTGAGTTTGATAATAGATATATGTTTTTGATATCTTGCCACAATATTTACATTTCAATACATATGGCCACTAGTCGAGGGATGGATTTAAGAGCACTATCTTTAATCCGGCTGCCAATGACAATCACAGAGAAAGTGTATCGGTCAATTGATGTTTATATATAAATATTGCGCGACGAACGCATTAACCCGACATACAGCTGACAGAGAATGCTGCAAGTTATAAGAAATCAGTGTTGGGGAAAAGATTGTCATGAATAAGTGTCGAACTTTTAATTCCTATAAATATGTTATGTAGGGACACGAACATAGACAAAAAACCAAAAGGTTGTCGTGCACCACCCCAAGAAAAATATCAGAAACATCAAAACATCAATTTTTAAACCGTTGTTGCCACATTTTGACCCCCAGGCCGCTTTTGGTCGTTGGCATCCAGTGATTCGCTTGGCATTAAGATCAACTACACGATCTTTCTTCCTTTCTGACATGTCCTTATTTCTGTGGTGAAAGTACAGCATGATAATGGTTACGAGCACAGTCAACCCACTTAGAAGTAATAGACACGTGATATATGTTGTGATGTATATCGTATTAGACGATGTCCGCGGAAGGTAACTGCTGACAGTCGTGAGAAACACTGTCAGCGCCAGCAGGACGGTTATTGAGAATGAGGTTTTCTCACCAGAATCATTAGGTAGCCAAAATGTCAATAAATTCAGTATAGACAACATGATTATAGGAACCATGAAATTCAGAACAAAAAACATATGTTGTCTTTTATATCTCAAACTTGTCTTCAAAATGGATAGTTTATTTCCGTCAAAGGTGTGACTGAAGACCTTGACAGAACTGTTCACTGCCTCCCATTCACCATGGCGTTTAAAAACAGAAAAAATTGATAAAAAATCACGGGCTTCGAGTTGAACTTCTTCAAATGTGTATTGCAATGGTGAAAAGGTCAGATTGCACTCCTGAACATCAAATGGGAATCGTTCAACGTTCATTAAACAAGCTACTCTCAATGTTTTAGTTGGGTGCCAGCTGACTCGGCCGTCATGAAAAACAAATATTCTATAACGCTCGTCACCAAACACGTCCGTGTCGTCAAGAGAACTATATAGATCCAAATACGGTTTCCAAACATTAGTCGACTCGACTTGCATCTTTTGTATCCCCCCATAATGTTCTGGTTTCCACTGTAAGAATTCATCAGTCCATGATATATTAAAGAAACAAGACAAGGTAATAAATTGTTGAACTTCATTCACTTCAATCAGATCAGAGACAAACAACTTTAATCCAACGACAGTAGGTTCACTTTGGTTGTATTGTGGCCTAATGGCCGCACTGTAGTTTGAGAAGAGGATCTTTTGTAGAGTCCTTAAATTGTCTGATGTCTCTGAATGAGCAGTCTGGCCCCAACAAAAGAGGAATAGAAACGTCAAACCACGGTGCACCATGCTGTCAGTAACTTAAATATCTTTCTACGTGATATCGACTGATGCAAGACAATACAGATTAGCAATGTGCCCGATAAAATGATTACTATAAATTTATAATGTTATCACTTTTTGTTTTTGATGTAAATAAAAGATAAATTTTGGCCCTCTGGGCAGGAATCACGATATTGCCACGGAAACATATTATACATCCTTATTAATGTTTATATATATTACATGTTGCCACTTACCAATAAATAATTAAGCAAATAATAAAGTTAATGGCAGTTAATCCAAGGGGACATTATAATGTTAAATCAATAGTTTATTATGATTACGGCACAAAAATAATTATTATACATTAACAATATTGCGGTAATGCGAACGCATTAGTCATTCTGTCGATGTTTGCCACAGTAACATCAATAAATCATCCTAGAATTGTTATATCGAAACACATAAAGTATTCATCCTAGACTTCTAGAATTGTTGCATCCATCGAAACACATAAAGTATTCATCCTAGAATTCTAGAATTGTTGCATCCATCGAAACACATAAATTATTCATCCTAGAATTGTTACATCGAAATCGAAAAAAAGAAATTATCCATGTTAGAATTGTTAGTATGTTTATGGGTCTATCAAATTCCATAATTTTATACTCGACAACAATTTACCATTTATACAGCTTGTCATTACACGAATCATTCAATTTAATATAAACACTATTTCCATTTCTTAAATCAGATCATGTTAGGTGGGTAAAGATGGAAGTTTACCCATTCTTAGTCATACCATACGCTTCATGCTATGGGTTTCCAGATTGACTGTTTACATTGTGATATCCAAACGGCTGAACAGGCATTATAAACATCAAGTGTAATTTAATAAACCCATGCTGTTACACTTCTTATATTGTCTGTGGCGAGGATTGATTCTGCAAATGCAATGAACATTTTAACAAATGCTCTTTCTTTCGTAAGTAAATACAAGCTTGGGCAAGCCTGGCAGTTTATGAGAGATAATTTTTTCGTCTAGCAATTATCTCCCTATTGACTGTTTTGGCCTATAAAAGTTTTTTTGAACATTCCGATGATTTTAATTTTTATACCCACAATGAGCCAAACATGTCACAACTACTTCGGTTTTTAACGTCCTACTGCCCTGCACCAAATTGGCTAATGAGGTCGGACATACGCCATTCTGTGTGTTATAAGGGAAATTTTGTCCAGACAGCGGTACTACTGTCTACGCTTATTTCAAATTCAAACTGGCAAAGATTATTTTATGTACAAAGTGTACAAGGGACATCGTTTTTTTGTTGTATCCAAACGACTGTACGTTGTCCCTTCCTGCACCACTGATAAGGGCGAAGCACACCGGAGAATGACGATGAACTCTTTCGGCAAACACCGGGATCGAATCTGGGACCTCCAGGTTAGCGAGTCAACGTCTAAGTCACTGATCCTTCCGCCCCAATATCATGAATATTCACCAAAACCTGGGAGAAAATGGAAATTCAAGCACTCTTTTTGTAATTTTAGACCAAACGGTCAATAAAAATTGTCATGTAAAAGAGGGGAAAAGGGAGAAAGGGAGAATTGCTATAAATACAGGAACGACATTACTAGTCTTAGTCCAACTGCAAGTGGTTTCAAAACAATATAAAAGCATAATCTTGCTGTGAAAAAAGAAATGCAATACAGGCTTGGGAAATATTTTATTTTGATATATATTTTTTAATATTTTCCTAAATACTTAGTTTCAGTGACAGTAACGGTTCCAGATAAAACGTTAGAATCAACAATTTTATTCTGGTTCGGTTGTTGACCACCAACAAATAATCCATATTGTCCTGAAATATAAACATCAATATAACCAATTTTCATCAGACACGCACCAATTCATTGTCCCTGGAATATATTACGCCACATCATATTAAATACAGCACATTAACTAACATGTTTAATTTTGATAAGCATTGTCAAGGCAGTCATATTTTGAGAATTACACAAGATCAAAATGGCAAATCTTCCAGTTCTTACAGAAAATCTTGACGTGGTTCGGATAAACCACATGTAATACCAACATCGCGTTAGTTTTAAATTTTCACTAAATCAATGATGTGATCTTTCTCGGTTCTTACTGAAAAATGAATATACATATGACTGTCCCTTTATGGTCGACAGTAATTTCAAATTAAACGTCTCTGAGAGATTTTTAGTAAACATAACCAAGCCCGAAACCCAACAATGATATACCTGGATAAACCATCCATCCACTGTTATCTTCCATCCATACCGCCATATTTTCACCTTTAACTCTAAATGTTACTCTTATTTTATTCTGAGCTATAATATACTGTCTCTTAAAATCCACTAATTGTAGTTTAGGTGTTGGTACTGGACTATTTTGCCAGATGATATAAACTTGAATAACCTCATCAGCTGATATTTGACCATTATTATAAACATCTACTGATCCCTCTATATCATTGCCTGCTAATATTGACTGACTAAATTGTAGATTAGAATAGGTAAAACTTGTATAAGATAAACCATAACCATAGGGGTATAGTGGATCATAGTTAATATATCGATATGTTCTTCCATCCATAGAATAGTTCATCATTGGTGGTATCTGAAAAACATTCAAACATTAAGACCCCAGTACGCCAAACATGCAAAAATAAAAATACATACAGCACGTTATGTTATGTTCGTAAAATATTTACCTGATCTTCGTGCATCGGCCATGTGTACGGAAGTCTACCGGCAGGAACAAAATTGGGACCATTCATTGTGAGAACATTAAATAAAGCTACACCTGTAGCTTGAGCGGGATAGAAAGCCTCTAAGATAGCAACAACTCTAGGATTACTATCAGCCCATGTTATATCAACCGGTCCAGCATTAAACAATATAAGAAGAACGGGTGTATTAGCAGGACCTAGAAATATAAACAACTCTAGGATTACTATCAGCCCATGTTGTATCAACCGGTCCAGCATTAAACAATATAAGAAGAACATGAGTATTTGCTGGAATTAGAAATATAAATAATATAGTGAGCTACGGGATCTTCTGTTTAAATTTCTCAGTCGGCCGGATAGAATAACAACTTTGTAAAACCCAGTTAATGCCAGTTTTGAAAAAGTATCTATGTCCATACTTTGTAATTAATACATGCATAGAATATTTCAAACGTTCAAAATCATCGATGACTATTCAGTATATCGAAAAGAAGTATATAATCAAGTCCCCAAAAAAGTATCGATACTTTTGTGTCTTGGTCACCGGTTTGTCGTCTGGTTTTCTGTTCACTTTGGTACAGTTCTCCTGTTCTAACTATTTAAGGAACATACATTTTAACATGCACGTGTTATGGGAACATTTTGTTTGGAGCTGGTATGTGCAGAAGGACACAGTGATACTTTTATGATAAATGCCAGTGGTATCTATAAATTAATTAATATGGAAAGAAGTAATGTATTTACTGACTATTATTAACAGCATCCTGCAGGATTTGAAGTTGTTTGCCAGGTAGATCCATAGTGTGTCTATCATGACCTTCTTTCTCAACAGCGACACCTAACATATAAACATGTTGATAATTATTGGAAATTGTCTAATCTTAATAAATCAAAAAATAAATTTAAAAAAATGATTTCACATTTTGCTAACGGATGAATCTTCCTAGCTATTTGTAAAAATAAAACATATTTCACAATAGAGATATACTGTTTAATCACGTGTTTAATGAAATGAAATGAAATGAAATGGGGTTTAACGTCCTACTCTTCTGCACCTAACCTGGGTTAATTGAAGACGGGCATACGCCATACAGTGTGCTATGAGGGAAATTTTGCCCGGGATCTTTTACGTGCACGCCAATGTGTACACGGGACCTCGGTTTTTCGTCCCATCCGAACGACTAGGCAGCTGTCCTTGTCAGGCCCCCCGTTCTGCATCACTGACAAGGGGAAACCACGCCGGAAAATCGAGATGAACTTTCTCGGCCAATGCAGGGATCGAACACCCGACCTCCAGGCTAGCGAGCCAGCGCCTTACCCACTTAGCCACGTGATCCCCACGACACCTTAAAAGATAATCTGGTAACCTCGACTGAACCGACTGGTGTCAGACGTGCATTGACATAATGTGTTAATTACATCTTGCAACAGATGGTACCGCGACTTATGTTGACATTCTTTAAGAACAATGATAAAATCTCCGTATATGAAGACAAGTTAATTAATGACACCTGATAAAGATAATATTTAATTAGCTTTGTGTTTGCATGTCATCACAATATGATATGTCTATGAGACCAGTTGTACGCGGTGTTGGGGAAAAGACTAGTAGATTCTGCAGCAGGGTGGCTTTGTAGGTGGAGGGTGGGGTGGGGGCTGTCTTGTTCCTGATGTAAATAAAGTTTATATTTACAGCCAATATATGACTGTATTTGAAATATCAGCATAATTATATATACACTTCTTTCTATTTTGCATAGTTTAAGACGGTTATTGATATTTTGTTGGTTTAATTCTTACACACTAGTCTTTGTCTTGGATTGTACAAATATATAAATATAGTTTTCATCGAAAAATTTTACACTCATAAATATTATATATTCTAATAAATTAATCACCAACAAACCTAATCCCAAGCAGACAATAACGAAATCAACATCTTGAACAGCTTGTATTAAACCTTTCTGGTTATATTGTTTACAGTTATTAGTATCTATACAACCATTATTGTAGCGTACTATATCAGCTAGACTCGACAGTGTTTGTAAAGGCGTGGTGGTATAAAAATGATTTACAGGAGAAGAATAGTCACCAGTTTGAGCATCTGGGTTGTCTGCCATAGGTCCAACTATCTACAAAATATAATACGTAATATTAATTGATACGATTTGTAAGAAAAATGGGTTCAAATATTCAAACTTGAATACAAGCTACCCTAAAAGAAACAGGTGTCATTTTAAAAAATTCTAATAAAAATGAATTATAATAATAAAAATTATAATACCACATTTGAAAGTTTGGGATTTGAAAAGCACATAAACTTTTTATAATGGGAATTAGACTTCTATGGTAAATAAAACCAATAAAGTTGTCCCTTGTGACCCTGTATCTTATTGTGTATATTAATCTTATCTTCATATAATTAAGAGCCAACTGTCGATGTTCAGTGACACACTTTGTAAATCAAAGCGAGACTTACCGCCATTTTGGAAAAGTGACTTCCGTTTAAAGGAAGAAAACTATTTTGATTCTTCAGTAAAACAAAGGTCTTCATAGCTGAATCAAGGGCCAACTGTCGATGTTCTGGACTTTGAACAACCGAAACATTGTATTCTTTATAAGGATTCATCTCTGGTGGATCAAATTCTCCTAACCTCATTCTAGTGTACCACATCGGTTTCATCAATTCTCTTAGTCTTGATTCTTCAACCCTTCCAGCAGCTACAGCCTGGGCTAATAACACAATGAACAGATTATTAGCATTTCACGGATTATATTCCCCGAAAAGCCAAAGCATAATATTTGTATCTTAGAGATGTTCCCTAAGATGTCGATATTGTCAGGTTTGGATATAAAACGAATTTAAAAAATATTTCTTGTTTTCCCATACCCCACTTATATTTTCTGAAGGGGACGTGGAATCGAATCATGTTTGGACTCATACACCTCTTTAGAAAGAAACTCTACACATAAATGATACGAACCAATTGAGCTGTAAATATTCAATGAACTGTGAGGCTCAAGTTCCAGATTGCACCCAGCGTCAATGCAAGCTGCTATGGTATCTATGGTATTGTTCAGATAGTGATGCCTACTAATGATGTTTTCAATCGCTCCTTCATCACTGACAACGTATCCTTTGAACCCCCATTCCTCTCTCAGAATATCAGTTAATAATTGTTTATGGGCACATGCGGGTATACCATTAACACTGTGAATAAAGGATTAATTATAAGTTTTGAAACGTTTTCAACTATTGTAACTACACATGAAATTACTTACTTATGGTAGTTATTTATTATTATAGCTAACCATTGAATTACTAATTTATGGAAGTGATTAACTATTATTTATACCTACACATGGAATTACTAATTTAAGGTACTGATTAACTATTATGTCTAAACATGTAACTATTAATTTATCGTAGTGATTACCTATTATAACTACACATGGTATAACTAATTTGTGGTAGTGATTAAACATATATTATGCAAGCGCTAAATCTGCCAATTGCAAGTCTTTATTTAGGCTTCAGATGTTATAGAAATTATTAATTAGACCTTTATTTACACGACAAGCTCAAAATCAACACTGTAGACTCATGGATGGCTTGGATACAGTTTTGATTTAAACAGTCGTCCATTTAAAATTAAAATAGCAGACCAAGCTAACGTTTACCGTTAGTCGCTGATGTTACTACCGGAAACTGGTGATGAAAGGCCTGCCAGGCGAGGCTATCATAGCCATTGAACATGTTTCTTGATAATCGAGAATATGTGGGTGGAGTTATCGTCTGTCAATCAAACGATCGCCAAGTCTCATAGACGGTGCAGTCCATGTATATTATAACTACACACGATACACTAAGGATCTATCTATTATAACAACATACAATTTTATATCTACACAGGGGTAAACGTTGGACATACCTTTTATTACTACACGTGGTGTAAGTTATGGTATTACGTACCTATCAGAACTGCACAGAAGTTACGGTAGTACATACCTATTATAACTGCACATGATATTGTATGTTCCAGCTTTAACACAAGCCCTAAAAGCAGGGAAAAATGTAGTTCTCCAATCTCTCATTGTAACCTGGCGAATAGAAACCGAAGTACATTATGAAGTATGAATGTCTTTGGCCCTAAGGTTAATTTTAATTGCAATATGGCATTTAATCTTCAACTTACGAACGATTTAGACAAAAAATCGACTAAAGATCCGATGCCCAATCTTCTGAAATATTATTTATTTATACCTCACACCACAACACAAAACCTTTCATAATTTCGTCTTAATTACCATTTGGGGTGATAATACTTATAATTGCATTTATACTGCACACCACAAAACATTTCGTAATTTGGTCTAAATTACGATTTGGGATGATAGTACTTATCACTGCATTTATACCGCACACCACAAAACTTACCATTTTGGATGATAATACTTACCACTGCATTAAACTCCATTCTTGACATTGGGTCAGTTTCTGGACCACCATAGGCATCAAAATGTTTACATCCAGCATTTGTTAGCAAGTAACGAGGGTGGTTACCTTGTAGACCCTGAACAAACGCTGCAGCATAAACTCCAGTAAAATAAGGATCTTCTCCATACGTCTCCTGTATGTATAAAAAGAATTCTTCGTCTTATACGTTAATCAACGGAGTTATAATTTGACCAACTTGCAACATTGGGAATTGTTATTTGATCGAATAGGATGGAACTAGAAATAACAAGTAAAGAACTGAATTGGGAAAAACTTACATCATTTCGACCCCATCTTGGATCTCTCATTATGTTTATAACTGGACTGAAACAACTTAGACCCTGTCCATTGTTGTAAGAACCATTGTTACTGAACATCGTATTTAATGCTCGCAATTCTATACCAGTGGCACGAGCTACATTATATATAACATCTGTACTAAAATGGATATTTAAATGAGATTTAATTTAATAAGAATATTTGCTACACGAAATATCAAACACATATGAAGACTCCAAACAATCGACACGGCTGAAACATTTTCATGACAACAGTATTTAATCGATGGACATTTCAGTACAAAAATGACCACCATTAAAAAGTTTCACATAGCTCCGAAAAGCTTCACCAATGTGAGATTCGGTATGGTCATAATATACGCTTTACTTTGGTGGGGTTTATTTTATTGAAAATTAGTCCAACGACTGCTTCTTAAGTCCTAGAAGGGGTTATTCATTTTAGAGTTGACTGATTCTCATCAAATTGTTGAATTTCTACTTACCCTGGCATAATTCAGAATCGGTATTCTTGTTATGCTAATAACTGGATTTAAAGGATAAACAACACAAGCAGTAGCTTGATAAACTTGAACATATTTTGGCTTACCTGAAAGCTGCCGCTAAGCCCAACGCTTCTGGAAATGGAGTTGCTGGCTGTTTTACGTCACCTCGAAGGCATTCTGAGTAAAATGCATAGGGTTTAATGCCAAGTCTGGGAATAGGAAAGGTTCCTCCTGAACCTCTCGACATTTGGCCTACCATTTCAGGAATGGTTAATCTACTAACTAAATCATCTACTCTTTTGTCCCAAGTTAAAGATACGTTATAGAATGGTAAGTCTAGAAATCCATAGCATGACGCTATAATTATACAAAGTACTAGCTTTCTTAACATGATCGTTGTAACTAGTATAGTGCTAGATGTTCGATATTGATACTATGATTATTTATCTATTTAAAATATATTTGTTTATCTATTATAATCAACGCAAAGACCTTGGCAAAATATGATCTTTGTGTCCTATAAATTATATATTACAATTGTTGCAGTCACATGACAATGTTATCTCGTAGTAGGGTAAAGGAGTCTATCCACTCTAGTCCAACTTTTTGATTGTCTGTGATACCTTTTTAATGAAATACAAAGAGCTAGTTTCCATGTGTGGCTGAGAATAAGTAACATACTCTACATATAAAATAAAACAAGTACATCATATTTGTGTCTGGATAAACATTCATATAATACTACACCATTTGATATGCATGTCTACACCCACTTGTAATACAGAACGCGTTATGAAAGCTGGGGCTCTTTTTCAAAACAAAAGCAAAGACATTAAATCAAATTTATTAATATTTTCCTAGAAATGTGCTTTTCGTAACCGTAAAAATTCCTGACAATACATTAGAGTTAGTAGTTTTATTCTGGTTTGGTTGCTGCCCTCCTACAAATACTCCATATTGTCCTGAAATATAACCATCAACGATATAGTTCATATTGTCTTGAAATATAAACATAAGCAGATAAACCGTACCACTCTGAAACATGATATCATCTAAAATGAAATATAAACATATAATATAAAAATACTTGCATATATTGTTTTAAAATATCGAAATTTTATCTGTAAGTTTCTTATAGTAATAAAACATTGTTAGTGCGGACACTTGGATAATCCACCCTCTTTATACCGCGCCACATTCTTACAGAATAAATCTGATGTGTGATCGACATTTTCAGATAGTTCTTATCATGGTAATAAACATATCCCTACCTGGATAAACCATCCATCCACTGTTATCTTCCATCCATACCGCCATACTTTCACCTTTAACTCTAAATGTTACTCTTATTTTATTCTGAGCTATAATATACTGTCTCTTAAAATCCACTAATTGTAGTTTAGGTGTTGGTACTGGACTATTTTGCCAGTTGATATAAACTTGAATAACCTCATCAGCTGATATTTGACCATTATTATAAACATCTACTGATCCCTCTACATCATTGCCTGCTAATATTGACTGACTAAATTGTAGATTAGAGTAGGTAAAACTTGTATAAGATAAACCATAACCATAGGGATATAGTGGATCATAGTTGATATATCGGTATGTTCTACCCTCCATAGAATAGTTCATCATTGGTGGTATCTGAAATACATTCAAACATAAGGGACCAGTACGATATCTTCTACCTTCACATAAATACATCATTATGAAACATTATACAAAGATTTTATTCATTATATAGATGATAAACTGTTCATGTTTTTTATATATATATATATATATATATATATATATATATATATATATATATACTAACTTGATCTTCATGCATCGGCCATGTGTATGGAAGTCTTCCAGCAGGAGCAGAATTGGGACCATTCATTGTAAGAACATTAAATAAAGCTACACCTGTAGCTTGAGCAGGATAGAAAGCTTCTAAGATAGCAACGACTCTAGGGTTACTATCCGCCCATGTTATATCAACCGGTCCAGCATTAAACAAGATCAGTAGAACGGGTGTATTAACTGGACCTAAAATTAAATATTTCATAATCATAATTATATCGTATCAGGGACTTTGAATAGACATAGAACGAACTAAATGGAACTAAATAAAATGGACGATAAACTATAATAAAGAAGACACTTTGATACCCATGTAAAGGCTTACAAGTCTTTTAATATAGAGTCAGAATGTAGAACTTAATTACTGACTATTATTAACGGCATCCTGCAGGATTTGAAGTTGCTTTCCAGGTAAATCCATTGTATGTCTATCATGACCTTCCTTCTCAACAGCGACACCTGTTACGTAAATAAAACATTAGAGAGTAGATTCAGTGCATTAGGTCTAAGCAATGGATTTTATATAGCCATTGGCGTATAATTATTTTTTAAGTGGTCAGTAAAATAGTACTAAATCTGTGAATATAATAAAGGGATGTCAGGTAAGAAAAGCATAATTCTACAATTTAAAAAAAATGAACAAACCTAAACCCAAACAGACAATGACAAAGTCAACATCTTTAACAGCTTGTATTAAACCTTTTTGGTCATACTGGTTACAGTTGTTATCACTAATGCAGCCATTATTATAGCTTACTATATCAGCTAGACTCGACAGTATTTGTAAAGGGGTTGTAGTATAAAACCGATTAATAGGTGGAGAATAGTCACCGATCTGAGCATCTTCGTTATTTGCTAAAGGGCCAACTATCTGGAAAATTTAAGAAAGAGAAATTGTCATCACATGCAAACTATTAAGAAACCAAAAATCATAACTGTACATGAACCCCATTAGTAATACTGTTTGTAAATCTGTAATTTAAATCCAAGCGATACTTACCGCCATTTTGTAAAAATGAATCCTGTTTAAAGGAAGAAAACTGTTTTGATTCTTCAGTAATACAAAAGTCTTCATAGCTGAAAAAAGTGCCAACTGTCGATGTTCGAGACTTTGAACAACCGAAACGTTGTACTCCTTATAAGGATTCATCTCTGGAGGATCAAATTCTCCCAACCTCATCCTTGTGTACCACATGGGTTTCATCAATTCCCTTATCCTTGATTCTTGAACCCTTCCAGCACTTATGGCCTGGCCTAGGAACACAAAGAGTAGATTATTAGCATTTTAGACACTGTATTCACCCTTAACAAAATATGACCAGTTGATTATGTGATGAGATGTTGATTATGTTGGATTTGGGTATAAAATGGAGTAAAGATAACAATTTTGAAATAAAAATGGTAAGTGAAAGTAACATAATTATTTACTCTAAAACAGGTTTAGATTTATTTCTTTTTCGTTCCGTTATAGTTTAGGTAAATATGCTTTGATCCAATTAAGGATATCCGACGCCACAATAAGAGTTATCTTTCTGTCGGCATAGCTTGACGAAATCATATTACCAATAGAGGCGTAAACATTTTGAGGTGGGCGTGGCTCGAGTTCCAGATTGCACCCAGCATCAATACAGGCCGCTATGGTATCTATTGTATTGTTCAGATAGTGATGTCTACTTATGATGTTTTCAATCGCACCAGCATCACTGACAACGTATCCTTTGAACCCCCATTCTTTTCTCAAAATATCAGTTAATAACTGTTTGTGGGCACAGGCAGGTATACCATTTACACTGTGGATAAATAATGAGAAAGGACCAGAAACATTCACAATAGTATATTCATATAAACTAGTAACTTAGTTTTGATACGTGTTCCTGTTCTGTCTGAACGACTAGACACGGTCCAAGTCTGCACCACTGGCAAGGGGGACCACGCTGTGAAATCCCAGGGAACGTTCTAGACCAGCTCAAGAATCGAACCCTAAATCTTTCGTTTAGTGAGCCAGTGCCTCACTCAATGGGCCACCCAGGCTCCCCAATAAGTAATAATAATATATCAACTTTTATAAAGCGCATAAACACAATAATTCTAAAGTTTCCAATGCGTGGTTGATTCCAGAGTTATCAATAGTTATTTCTGTCACAGGGGATTTCGAAAGATGTGGTTTGAACCGGGATCTGAAGGCTTTCTTGGATTTTCAACTATTAATTCTAAAGGAGGTTAATTCCATAAATATGGCGCAGTGTGTATTGTCTGGGTTGAGTTTTAAAAGGCGTACGGTAATGGAGGTATCTACCTATCACAAATTCATATGATACAATAAGTTACTGTATACCTATTATCACTAAGAATTATATCATAAATTATTGCGGATGTTATTATAGTTATAAATTATGGTAGAACATATTTATTACCTATTATAACTGCACATAATATTGTAAGTTCCAGCTTTAACACATGCTCTGAATGCTGGCAAATATGTTGTTCTCCAATCTCTCATGTTTACCTGTCAAAACCAGAAGATAAAGACATATATTTTGCTGAATAATGCGCAAACATAATGCATGATTTTAATGTTTTTAATCAAGGGCTGGTGAAACTACTTACCACGGCATTAAACTCCATTCTTGACATTGGGTCAGTTTCTGGACCACCATAGGCATCAAAATGTTTACATCCAGCATTTGTTAGCAAGTAACGAGGGTGGTTACCTTGTAGACCCTGAACAAAAGCTGCAGCATAAACTCCAGTAAAATATGGATCTTCTCCATACGTCTCCTGTGAAATAACGAAAGTTTTTTAATCAAATAAAAACAGATGCATTCAAATACAACAGAAATCAAATTCGTCGGATTGTTTTGTTATTATTATACATGAATTATAAAAACTTACATCATTTCGGCCCCATCTTGGATCTCTCATTATGTTTATAACTGGGCTGAAACAACTTAGGCCCTGTCCATTGTTGTAAGAACCATTGTTACTGAACATCGTATTTAGTGCTCTTACTTCTATACCAGTGGCACGAGCTACATTATATATAACATCTGTACTGAAATAGAAACGAAACAGATTTTCGTAATAACAACATCCAATGATATATTTGTTTTATAAGCTGGAAAAATTATAGCTAAGCTGGTAACTCTGCTGGTCCTGTTATCTATAAACCATAAGTTTCAAATATTTCTGGAATATCTTTTGCCATTTTTTTTCGTTAAATTTGTTCCAGCTTACCTGAATGATGCTGCTAAACCTAGGGCCTCTGGAAAGCCCGTTGATGGTTGTTTCACGTCTCCTCGGAGGCATTCTGAGTAAAACTCATATGGTTTGATGCCAAGCCTTGGGATTGGAACCGTTCCACCGGAACCCTTTGACATCTGACCTACCATTTCCGGTATTGTCAATTTAGCCACCAAATCATCTACTCTTTCGTCCCATGTTAAAGATATATTATAAAATGGGAAATCTGGAAATCCACAGCAGCATGACGTCAGGAAAAGGGGAAGTATTAAAAGCCGAAACATTAGCCCCGTAACCAGTTTGGCAGATATTTTTTTAAATTTGTGATTGAATCAGATGTATGTAATGTCTGTGTATACTAGACGTATAATGCCTTGTGATAATACTATCAGTTTGATCGACATAGTGAAGGACAGGCCAACTTTATATTATATTTGGCCTTCAACCACTGTAATATAAGATTAGAACTATGATCGTATAGAAAAACGTGTTGAAATTTAATCTTCAAACATAATTTGGTTTCTGACATTAAGGTTTTCAAATATACAATCCAAATCGATCAACTAATGTGATTGTAGATATCATCTGGCTGGCTTTCATAATAATGACGGGAGAAGCTCGTGTGCCTTCTATTGATGGTTAGACTTGGGATATTAGGACTTGCAAGCCTAAGATTTTCTGATGTCACTGAAAGTAGCAATCTGTAAAAGATTCTACTAAAGAAATCTTATGTTTCCAACCACCCATTCCATGGATACATGCGACTAATTGATGGTTCCATTACCAGAAATTTAAACGGAAATGTATTAAGTATTAATCAGATTTGTCGTACCCATATAGATCATAATAATAGCCAGGGAGGTTGCTACACTAGAATGGTAGACATATTGCTAAATGGGTAGATGTTGTAGATACAAAACAAACAACACAAAATTACATGTAACCTAAACATTGCTATTTAATATTTTCCTAAAAATCTGGTCTCGATAATTGTGAACATTCCAGACAATACATTTGATTCAACAGTTTTCTTCTGCTGTGGTTGTTGCCCACCAACATATAATCCATATTGTCCTGAAATATACACATCAATATAATTCATGTTATCTTGAAATATAAACATTGGCCTATACATAGTTTAAAAATAAAAATCACATGATTTTCACACAATATAATCCACGTTATCTTGAAATATTTAAACACTGACATTTGTATGGAAATAAAATATACAATAAATCATTCGCATTTTACAGATCAATTTTCTCAACCAATGTATCCCATCGTCCGCTAACCAATTTCGTTTCCCTTTGTTATATTTGTCTGCTTAGAAAACTAACCTGGATAAACCATCCATCCACTGTTATTTTCCATCCATACCGCCATATTTTCACCTTTAACTCTAAATGTTACTCTTATTTTATTCTGAGCTATAATATACTGTCTCTTAAAATCCACTAATTGTAGTTTAGGTGTTGGTTCTGGGCTATTTTGCCAGTTGATATAAACTTGAATAACCTCATCAGCTGATATTTGACCATTATTATAAACATCTACTGATCCCTCTACATCATTGCCTGCTAATATTGACTGACTAAATTGTAGATTAGAGTAGGTAAAACTTGTATAAGATAAACCATAACCATAGGGATATAATGGATCATAGTTAATATATCGATATGTTCTACCTTCCATAGAATAATTAACTATGGGCGGCAACTGAAAGAGGAAAAATAAATATGATATGAAGAGTATGTATGCGTAGTGCCATAGATAAAGCTTAATTCAACTTAGGGTTTATATTTAATGTTTTAACGTATGGGCGACAACTGTTATACATCAGATTTCAAATTATAGGAACGACTTGTTTACATTTAGAATCATCAACTGATAACTCAACAACTATATTTTAGAACTGAACGATTTTTTTAAATCTTTTTGTTTTGTAAATGAGTCCCTGAATAAATATCTAAGAATGAGGCAGCAAATGAAGCGCTGTACATATTATTTCTAACCTTACCTGATCAGTGGTCATTGGCCAGGTGAAAGGAATTCTACCAGCCGGAACAGAATTAGGACCATTCATTGTAAGAACATTAAACAAAGCATCTCCTGTAGCTTGAGAAGGATAGAAAGCCTCAAGGATAGCAAAAACTCTAGGATTACTATCAGCCCATGTTATATCAACCGGCCCAGAATTAAACAAGATCAGTAGAACCGGTGTATTAGCTGGACCTACAAATATAACCAACCCTAGGATTACTATCAGCCCATGTGATATCAACCGGTCCGGCATTAAACAAGATCAGTAGAACGGGCGTATTAGCGGGGCCTAGAAATATAAACAACTCTAGGATAACTATCCGTCCATGTTATATCAACAATTAGCAATTAGCAATAACTAAACATATAAACAACTCTAGCCATGATATACTAAGATATGTTCCACACAAAATAGGTTAGCAGGGTGTAAACTTAAAAACAACTCTAGCTACAATTACTAAAGTATTTGGAGATACTTTGTATTCCTATCAAAGTAAAAGCTTTAACTTACTATTATTGACGGAATCTTGCAGAAGCTGTAATTGTTTGCCAGGTAAATCTATATTTGGTCTGTCACGGCCTTCTCTCTCTATATCATTACCTTTAAAACAAGAGAAAACATTCAACATTATACTTGTGTATTAAAAAAACCTTAATCAAAATACATAAAGTTCCGTGTGCGTTTATAACATACCTAGCCCTAGACAGACGATGACCAAATCAACACCTTGAACAGCATCAATAATACCAGTCTGGTTGTAGTTGTCGCAGGTTGTACTTCCAATACATCCAGCATTATAATGAACAGTGTTTCCTAATCTAGAGAGATTCTGTAAGGGCGTAGTGGTATATAATGGATCCGGGTGTGGCGAATAATTACCAGTTTGAACCAATGTATCATTAGCTGCAGGACCAACAATCTAGTTTTAAACAAGCAGAAAAATCATGAATATGATATCACTTAGTAGTGGCTACTTGGTAATAGAATTGGTCATGTTACTTATCTATTTCTCAGCTGCAAACTGGTGGAAAGTCTGATATATAATTTCTTTTATCTGAAATTGTAACGGTTAGTGATTCAGATGTAGGCAAGTAATTGCGGTAACATCATTAACTTTAAATTATTATAGATTCTCGTGGGATAATTGGCTATGGTACACGTAGAAATATTGGGGCTATGCTAGTTATAAGTACACGACAGTTACGAAGTAAGTCTTGATTAGCTGTAACTATATCTGTGTACTTAGCTTCTCTCTTTTATTAATTGTAAAGAAATGTACTGATTTAAATCTTATAAACAGATGGACCTACAGCAATGTTATTGAAGATTCCACTTTTTGTTGGAAGAAATTTATTTAAATTTTTAAGAAGAACAAAGGTTTTCATAGCTGTTTGTATGGCGAGTTGTCTGTGTTCTGGACTTTGTACAACTGATAGATTTAACTGTTTATATGGATTCATCTCTGGTGGATCAAATTCTCCCAACTTCATTCTAGTATACCAAGCTGGTTTCATTAACTCTCTTACTCTTGTTTCTGTTATTTTACCTTCTGATATAGCTTGTCCTGAGATGCAAATACAAATTTTGTGTACGATGAGTGAACCGAAAAGGTGGTTCAGCTATTTAAATTCAGTGTTAATATCCTTTTTAATCTGCTATAATTTTACTAGAATTTAACGATGTCTACCACTTGATAGTTAACGTCGATTGTTTTACTATTGCCTCGACTGCTTTGCGAAACTTAAAAAAGTAACTAAATAGGTTAGTAATTTTAAAGTTTTACTCGTATGAAAAATGTTTACCTACCCATAGATTCGTAAACAATTTCACCCTTCCTTTGATGTCCAAGTTCAATATTGCAACCAGCATTTATACAAGCCGCGACTGTATCTACACTATTATTTAGATAATGATGTTCTGTTATAATGTTCTCAATAGCACCAGCATCACTTATAACATAGCCACTAAAACCCCATTCATTTCTTAATATATCTGTTAATAGTTCTTTATTAGCACAGGATGGTATTCCATTTATTCTGTAAAAATAATGATGGTTAACAAAAAAGGAAACAATAACATCATCATCAAATATTTCCCAGTAAATTTAATTATTATTCAGTAATTTTCCTTAGGCACAAGAGCTTCTAAGTGAAGGGGGACTGCGGATAAGCGTCAGCGAGGTGTGTGTAGACACGGGTGGAATTTACGATGTTTTAAGCCCATGGGTAAAAGTAAACCTACCTATAGTAACTACACATAATATTATAGGACCTAGCTTGAACGCAAGTTCTAAAGGCAGGAAGGAAGGTAGTTCTCCAGTCTCTTATTGATACCTACAAGAATAATGGTAGCAACCTTGATGACACAATAAATAATGTGCTTATGCAAAATACGTTATGATGCATAGAAAAATATATCAAAATATTGTTATCGGGTTCATAAGATAAAACAATGAACCATAAAACCAATTCAGTTTTTTAAAATTTCAAAGAAATGACCACATTAATTTGCTGAAATTGTTTCAGATGAAAAGCATTAAGATAAATTACTTTTATTTAGAAGAAATGGAAACTTCAATACACCATTACTAGTGTAATTCCTGATAAAGAAATACAAAAACGCAAACGTAACTGACTTCGGCGTTAAATCCAAATCTGGAAACGGGATCACTCTCAGGACCAGCATAAGCATCAAAATGTTTACATCCAGCACTTGTTAAAAGGTATCGTGGATGATCGCCCTGGAGACCTTGAACAAAAGCTGCTGCATATTGACCACTGAAATAGGGATCTTCACCATAGGTCTCCTAATTAAATCAAAAACAGGGGATAAATGAGAATAAACCCGTCGTTCTTGTCAAATGAAATAGATCTTATAAAAATTTACGTTTTTGGACTAATTGATCTCGACTGCACTATTTTGTTGATAACGGCACAAATATTTTCGCTTAATCATCGATAAGTTTAGTCACCACAGTACACGGAAATCCATTGAGAAAGTTGCTAATCGCAGCAAAATAGTAGTATTTGTATATTTGCATAGTATAAGATAATGTCGGAGGGTATAGGCGTGCTACCAAAATAAGTCTCTCAACAACAAGGGAACGAACCAGAAATCAATCAAATCAAGTGAAAAGAGAATGACACTTTAGTCAGTATGTTATGTGCAAACCCTAATTTCAATAATTCACGAAAGAAAAATTAAACATATTATACATACTTCATTTCTACCCCATCTTGAATCTCTCATTATGTTTATTACTGGTGAAAAACAGCTGAGTCCTGTACCAAGACCATATTTCCCTTGTTGACTAAAAACTGTATTTTTAGCTCTTACTTCTATAGCAGTGGCTCTAGCTACATCGTAAATCACATCTGTACTTTTATTATGAAAGACACATTGCAGTGAATTATAAAGCAGTAAAGCCACAAATGCATGAATTGTATCTATTAAAGAACTGAACTTGTTATATTGAAATAGAAATTGTTGAAATTATTATGATTTTGATAAATAAAAGTACCATTACAATTAAAACTGGAAGAGTTGGGTTGTTAACTACCTGAAAGCTGCTGCAAGACCTATAGATTCAGCAAAACCAGTTCCACCTTGTTGTACATCACCACGGAGACATTCTGTCCACCATTCATACGGTTTGATTTCTAATCTAGGAATTGCGTCAGTTCCACCTGTGCCTTTTGCCATTTGACCTACCATTTCGGGAATGGTTAATCTACTAACTAAATCATCTACTCTTTCTTCCCATGTTAACGACACATTATAGAAGGGAAAATCTGGAAATCCATAGCACGAAACAAAGAATACCAGAAGCAAAACAATGATGTGCGTCATAACTGACACAATTAAAGAAATGAATGATGGTGATACTGCTAAATGTAAATAATGCTACGCTAGTTCTGTGTGTTATTGACCTTGTAAGTTTGAATATTATCTGTGTATATTGCGATAACGCAATACTCGATTTAGATAAATAGTACCTAATCAGCTTTGCTGAGTGTTAGTCAAAACAGAGGACATTTTTTTCAAACAAAAAAAAAAGAATAATTAAAATCAATAGTCAATATTCTTGATTTTGATTAATGAGTATAGTCGAACCAAAATAAGAATGATTTAAGAAAAAATGTTGGTTTTAATATCGAACAATACTAACATTATTTCAAGATGTAAATTATTCGTACAAGGTTATTGTGTTGAATAATAATAATAAATTTATATTATGTCTGCATTGGCTTTCCGTACTTGATTTATGTATGTCATTCGGCTGTAATTTCAACCATGTTTGTACATCCTGTATTGAATACTGAATTAGCGATATCATCATATTATTTTATTTTGTTAGTTTTATTACAGCCAGTGGGCACTAGTCATGCACTACAATGTCGTGGCTTTAAATTGCATTTCAATGTAGCAAAGGACGCTATATAGGACTGACCGATTCATTAAATGTTATCGGGTTTACTTTTTATAGATGTGAATGTGTGTTAAGGCCTACGTTAATACAACCCGTCAAATATTGTTGTATGGAGAGATAGCGTGGTTATATTAGGTCGATTGTTGGATTTGAAAAGAAGTGTAACTTAGTAGCTAACTATTTGTTTATACATGGTTGCAGTTGGGTACAATTTAAAAGTTGCTTCCACTTTTCCAAGGGCCAAACGAAGTTAGATTTTGAGGTTATAGGCCTCAACTACAGAAATAAAAAGAACATTTAGTTTTACTAGACATTTATTTATTAACAGTTATATTATAGTGCAGTTTCAAATGCATTATTTAAATAGAACCCATCATACCTATCGTCTTTTAGTATTAGCTTGAAATGTCGACCGTCTGTATTTTGCTTCTAGTATTTCTAGCTTCGTGCTATGGATTTCCAGATTTCCCCTTCTATAACGTATCTTTAACATGGAAAGAAAGAGTAAATGATTTAGTTGGCAGATTAACCATACCTGAAATGATAGGTCAAATGTCGAAAGGCAACGGTGGAACTGACGCAATTCCTAGATTAGAAATCAAACCGTATGAATGGTGGACAGAATGTCTCCGTGGTGATGTACAACAAGGTGGAACTGGTTTTGCTGAATCTATAGGTCTTGCAGCAGCTTTCAGGTAGTTCATCACATATAAATATATTTGTGTTAAAATGCATGGTATTAAATGTGCTCAGCAATATTTAAGCATTCAAATTATGAAGACATCAATTATGACATTTTCTGCTATTGTTGGCGGCCTTACTACTTTTTAATTCACTGCAATGTTTCTTTCATAATAAAAGTACAGATGTGATTTATGATGTAGCTAGAGCCACTGCTATAGAAGTAAGAGCTAAAAATACAGTTTTTAGTCAACAAGGGAAATATGGTCTTGGTACAGGACTCAGCTGTTTTTCACCAGTAATAAATATAATGAGAGATTCAAGATGGGGTAGAAATCAAGTAAGTTAAGGTTGAGTAGTAATGTATTTAAACAATATATCGCTTACGTGACGGTTACTTTTGCCGGTCTTATGCGAATGACTTGTTAAAATAAAAAATACTAAGAAAGAATAAGTAGTCAGCGAATATTTTTATCCAGATCCCCCAGCTTTATTTAAATTCTCACAAAAGTTGACATGACTTTGTGTTATTCAAGTGTTTAGTCCATTTAGCATAAACGATTTTAATTTTACAGGAGACTTATGGTGAAGATCCCTATTTCAGTGGTCAATATGCAGCAGCTTTTGTCCAAGGTCTCCAGGGCGATCATCCACGATACCTTTTAACAAGTGCTGGATGTAAACATTTTGATGCCTATGCGGGTCCTGAAAATGACCCCGTTTCTAGACTGGGTTTTAACGCACAAGTAAGTTTTTCACAGGCATGCCTAGTTTTAAAATCTTGAATACTCAATGCAGTCTATCCCAATTAAACAAGCCAGTTTCCTTCACTGGATCTTAAAAAAATGTTATATCCATCTGTAGGTATCAATGAGAGATTGGAGAACCACTTTCCTACCTGCCTTCAGAAGTTGTATTAAAGCTGGTTCCTATAATATTATGTGCAGTTACTATAGGTAAGTCTTCTGTTGTACATGGGGGGTTGGATGGCCGAATGGTTAGCACGTGCGCGATGTATCATAAGGTCTGTCATTGGGTCAACTGGCGTGGTTTCGAATCCCCGGTTATACGTCCAACCTCGTAGGTTTTCTCCGGGTCCTCCGGTTTCCTCCCACTGCTAAGGCGAATTATTGAAATAAAATTGAACCATGTGTCAGTCCCGAAATGACCTAGTTTTTGTCGAGTGGACGTTAAACCCCATCTCTCTCTCTCTCTCTCTCTCTCTCTCTCTCTCTCTCTCTGTTGTAGATTAATTAGACTGCTAGCACGTCCACCAAATATTTTCATCTTCTGAAATTTTTTAACCAAGACACTGTTTCATTGTTCTAAAATATTTTTGGTATATTTACAGCATAAATGGAATACCATCCTGTGCTAATAAAGAACTATTAACAGATATATTAAGAAATGAATGGGGTTTTAGTGGCTATGTTATAAGTGATGCTAGTGCTATTGAGAACATTATTTTTAGACATCATTATCTGAACAATAGTGTGGATACAACTGCTGCCTGTATTAATGCTGGTTGTAATATAGAACTTGGACATTCCACTAATAATATCTATGATGCAATAGGTAGTGACTTATTTTAAACTGTTTTCGAGCGTATTATTTAGACTTGCTTGGCAATTCAAATACCATATGCGAATAAGATGTCTTAAAATTTGAATTTTATTCTGTGGAGTACGCCAGGACTGTGTCCTCATTCTAATCATCTTTGATATAAGTTTCACGGAAACAATTATTGAAATTGTGTAATTATCATAGATCACTATCAGTTTACATAATTAATGACTTACAATACGGACACGATTGTATAGTCGAACCGCAGCGGGGTGAACAATTAATGTTACAAAGCATATAAATTACCGATAACTAATTATGAAACATTTTGATCTCAGGACAAGCTATATCAGAAGGTAAAATAACAGAAACAAGAGTAAGAGAATTAATGAAACCAACTTGGTATACTAGAATGAAGTTGGGAGAATTTGATCCACCAGAGATGAATCCTTATAAACTGTTAAATCTATCAGTTGTACAAAGTCCAGAACACAGGCAACTCGCCGTACAAACAGCTATGAAAACCTTTGTTCTTCTTAAAAATTTAAATAAATTTCTTCCAACAAAAACTGGAATCTTCAATAAAATTGCTGTAAGTTGTATTATATTTTGTAGATGTGTAAAGCGTTATTTTCACGTATTGTTAAATAAATTGGTGTAATCAAACGCTGTGTCTATAGCGATGTACATAGACGAATGACCGCAAGGAAAACTGATTTGTTTCCTGAAGATCGTTTTCGTTGCCCTGCAGATTTGTAATCGCTGATCCCGCCACACTTCACTGCATGGTGTTGAATGTGACATGTATTTTTAGCTTCAGTAAGGCTAGGTACCCACTGTCGTGCGATGCGTTACGACAGGATTACTCCTATTGAATCCACGAACTGGTACGTGCAGATAGGTTCGTATACGTTTCGATACGATCAACACAAAATATATGATAAGACTTGATAGGATCACCAAGATTACTCTACGATTAAAACCACGATTAGATTAAGATCACGATTTTAATCGTAGCGTGAATCGTGATAGTGGGAACCTAGCATTGTCTACAGTTGTTCCGTGAACTAGAAATTCCAAATTACAAATATATTGGGATACTGGGGACCTGGAATACTAAAACTAATTAATACAAATATAAGCTAACATTTCCCATACGAAAAGCAAAACATGGATGTCATTGTTACCAGGTGTTCCAGAAAAGTGAACATACCCCGTCACGACCTATAGCTAAATAGAGCAATAACGTTTTGCCTTTTACTTCTTTGTTTTCTACTTTTTAATAGATAGTTGGTCCGGCAGCAAACGATCCACATGTTCAGACTGGTGGTTATTCACCAACAGTAGATCCACGATATACTACTACACCTTTAATGAACCTCTCTAGATTAGGAAACACTGTTCAGTACAATAATGGATGTAGTGGAAATACTACTTGTATAGATTACGACCAAGCTGGTATAATAAAAGCTGTTCAAGGAGTTGATCTGGTCATCGTATGCTTAGGATTAGGTATATCAATCACTAGCTAAGTCACCAGGTTAGATTCGTAACTGAGTGTTAGTGAATGGTCTAGAATATTTCTTTTATGACAAAATATTAATCTTCAAATATCGTTAATGGAACAAATATTACCCCTCATATTTTCATTTCTATACGCATAAAATATAAATTAAATAATCTGGAAGTTGGAAGTACAAATTGTACTGATTGCGACCAAACTAGTATTAAAAACTCTAGTGAAGGTGTTGATTTGGTCATCGTCTGTTTAGGTTTAGGTAAGCTTTAATATAGGGCTATGGTTTTAAAGTACATTTGAGATCACATTGAAAAATATAAAGTATTATTATTTTGTAGGTACTGCTATTGAAAATGAAGCCCTCGACAGACCAAGTATAGATTTACCTGGTAAACAATTAAAACTTCTGCAAGATGCAGTCAATAGTAGTAAGTTTCTATATTCAATTATGCTAGTAATTCCATTGTTGTTAATATGTCTAGTAGTAACCGTAGAGGTATTCATATTACTAGGTATTTCTATTTTATCCGCTTCTATTTCTTACACTCCTTGGTCCGGCTAATGGGCCCGTTTTACTTATCTTGTTTAATGCTGTACTTCTTGATCTAACATTGAGTGGTAGTACTCCTGTTACTGATATGTCTAGGTCCTGTTAATACATCAGTTTAATGCTGGACCTGTTGATATAATCCTAGAGTTGTATATATTTCTAGGTCCAGCTAATACACCGGTTCTACTGATCTTGTTTAATGCTGGACCGGTTGATATAACATGGGCTGATGGTAATCCTAGAGTTGTTGCTATCTTAGAGGCTTTCTATCCGTCTCAAGCTACAGGAGAAGCTTTATTTAATGTTCTTACCATGACTGGTCCAAATTCTGTCCCAGCTGGCCGATTGCCTTACACATGGCCAATGGCAACTGATCAAGTAAGTTCTTAATACATGTGTACGGTAATGGGTTTAATGTCCACTCGAAATAACCATGTCACGTCCGAAGAAACATATAATGTCTTATTTCAATAAATCGATTGCGGGTAGGGGTCTTTAGATGTGGTAGGATGTCGGAAAAAATATTATGTGTTCTAGAGTACCCCTGGAATTTATATGTTTACAATTTATTTCAGCTGCCTCCCATAATCAATTATTCAATGGAAAGTAGAACATATCGATATATCAACTATGATCCACTATATCCCTATGGTTATGGTTTATCTTATACAAGTTTTACCTACTCTAATCTACAATTTAGTCAGTCAATATTAGCAGGCAATGATGTAGAGGGTTCAGTAGATGTTTATAATAATGGTCAAATATCAGCTGATGAGGTTATTCAAGTTTATATCAACTGGCAAAATAGTCCAGAACCAACACCTAAACTACAATTAGTGGATTTTAAGAGACAGTATATTATAGCTCAGAATAAAATAAGAGTAACATTTAGAGTTAAAGGTGAAAATATGGCGGTATGGATGGAAGATAACAGTGGATGGATGGTTTATTCAGGTAAGTTTTCTAAACATACAAAATATTACAAAGTGAAATGAATAGGTCGATGTTTATACTGAAACTTCAAGACAATAAGAATTATAAGTTAATATTTAAATCTCCAATTTTATTTAATTTAAGTTTTTTGGGGCATTATGCTGATGTTTATATATGCTTATACTTCAGGACCTTATATTGTTGATGTTTATATTTCAGGACAATATGGACTTTTTGTAGGTGGTCAACAACCAAACCAGACTAAAACTACTAACTCTAATGAACTATCAGGAATGTTTACGGTTACCAATACTAGGTTTCTGGGAAGATTCTAATAACATATTAAAATTTTATAATTAAATTTTGTTATGTTTATATCTTAAATAGAATATTCTAACGGTTGGTATCCTGTATATCGAAATACAGGTATCCTGTATGTCTATATAGGGGTTTATATTTTTTGGCCGTTAATGCATTGATGTAAGTGCTTTTTTTACCAAAGATTCAGTAGACAACGTCTGAAAATTTGTAATCCAAATTACAATGGCTATGAGTATATAAATTCTGTAGTCAAAAAGGGTCATGTGGCATGCATTATTACAGTGGCAGAAAACACGGAAGATTTTGAGATGTATTAAAAATCATACCTAGGATATTAAGTTCAACCTGAATATTCCCAAGACAATGTGATTGTCACGAGATTAGAAACATAACACATTATGAACAAGGCGCATTTTGAGAGGGGCAGGGGGGGGGGGGGGGCGGCTTTCAAACTTTCGTTATTCGGTTTAATAACTAGTGGTTAACAAAATTTCGGCTCCATGGACAGTAACAATCCCCAAACATTTTCTGACATATTTGAGTCATCCCGTGTCAAATAACCTAATGAGGAAAATCGCACCCCTTCGCGATTTGGTATATATGATTATGTTGGCTGTAAATACTAATACTCAAAATTTCAGCTTGATCGGAGAAGTAACATCTCCAGATATATGGTCCATTCAATACCATTTCAGCAATAATGACCAATCGGTTACTGAGGCATGGATATCAGCTTTTCCAGCCAAAACAAGCATGCACCAAAATACATTAAACTCAAGGGGCGGGTATGGTTTAAATATTCCATTTACAATGGAATGAAGGCACATAAAAATGTTTTTTTAGTGGTAGACGAAAGCTATATTTTGATGCCGGGTTACATAACTTATGCCTACTTTATTTGCTACGTATATGTAACATATGAGTACGAACACATTATCCTAAAACTAAAAGAAGATTTTTAACAGTGAAAGGTTATCTTTTATGGATTCAAAACGATCCATGATTAACATATATGAAACAATATTCACATACATTGTTGTACTTTAGTACATAACAGCAAGTATCGTGGTCATAGAGTTTACGAACTTTTCTCAACAGTTTGTTCCTTAATTTGTCCAACAATCAAAGTGAACTGTTAAGGAGAGGTAAGGGGATTAATCTACAATTGTCATATTATCATATCCGATAATGATACGTGAGAGAATATTTTTGACTCCGTCTACTTCTTTCAAGCTGACAACGCCACAGATAGTGTATAGGAATTGATTTACAAATTCAAATGTATGATGTTACAGGATTTACTCTAGTTCCGTTCTTATCTATACTATGATTAAACATATATCTACTTATCTTTCCCTCAACTTACTGAGTTACCAGGAATAGTTCATGATTAGATTACTCATACTGCGGTTAATAAATTTAGTAGCTACTCACTACGGATTTTCAGATTTCCAATTGCACAATGTATCTTTAACATTAAGTTATTTGAAACGATAGTGTCACATTGCACAGGTGGGACTGGTCTAATTCCAAAGCTTGGCATCAACCCATAGCAATGGTGGTGTTCGAAGTAATATTGGTATTGATGGAACTGGTCTCCTCGAACCAATTAGATTATTAGCTTCTTTCATCATTGATAATGCTCAGTTGGGTGTCAAAATGAATATATACTGTTGATATCCGAGTTGAGACTAACATGTATTAAGAGGTACAGTACAGTTGGCGTTATATTTTTGTAGAAGAGAAGTACGTTTATAGTAGTTAGAGCAACTGGTATGTTCAATAAAGAAATTCCTATACGGTTGACAGCGGACTAAGATATTGACTCCAGTTATAAACATCCTAACGGGTCCCTGAAAGCCAGTGCAAACGTAAAAATGATTATTTCACTCAGGTGGAAATCTTTTCAAAGTTGTACCAGCTATAATGCCACTGTATTTCTGAGCATCAGCATTTGAAGTAAAATTCGAGTGGTTGGCAAATAATCGTTTTTAATTGTCCTGAATTTGTCGGCATACCAAGCCGATTGCTTTCAAGGTTTACAGGGTGATCATCAGGCATACCTTTTAACAAGTTCAGGAGGTAAACATTTTTATGGGATCATGCACAAACCACAACAATACAGGTTTATATGAGTCTATTTGAAAGAAAATAGTATCGGAATAATTAAGATGGGTAAGATCGATTGTGGCTTTCATTTGTCTACTATCTATAATATTCGCTGTGCTTATTTTGTGGTAAAGAAAGCATTGTCTCTATCATATGGTTCGGGTAATACTGGATACGAACTTGGTGGATGCAACGCCAACTTTACCCGTGTTTAATCCACCCGCCCTGCTTCTTGTTTGGTTAATAACATGATTTTATTCATTTTCTCTCGCTCGACATTACGCAAATTTACAATTCAGAACAAATTAAAATCAATATCGAGTACATTGTAATAGGACTACGTTGTTCTGTATGATATCACCATTACCAGGAATCTCACCCCAGTATTTATGAGATAAACATAAAACAATTAACACATTATAACGTATTTAATTATACAATGTTAACATTGCTATTAGTAATTTCATTAACCATCAATGTTATATTGAACTAATTCAGTTTATTAATATTTCCCAAGAAATCTGGTTTCTGTAACTTTAAACATTCCTGACAATACATTAGAGTTCGTAATTTTATTCTGGTTTGGTTGCTGTCCTCCCACAAATATTCCATATTGTCCTGAAACAAAAACAACAATCTTTAATCCGCATTATCTTGAAGTATAAACACCAACGCTTGATCAATATTGATAAAACTTAACCTTAAAAATAACAATAAATCAGCCATGCCCTGAGGTAAAGAAAGACCCATGGAGTATCTTGTGTAATTTAAGCGTGCCATATAAACAAGACTGAAACTAACCTGGATAAACCATCCATCCACTGTTATCTTCCATCCATACCGCCATACTTTCACCTTTAACTCTAAATGTTACTCTTATTTTATTTTGAGCTATAACATACTGTCTCTTAAAATCCACTAATTGTAGTTTAGGTGTTGGTTCTGGACTATTTTGCCAGTTGATATAAACTTGAATAACCTCATCAGCTGATATTTGACCATTATTATAAACATCTACCGATCCCTCTATATCATTGCCTGCTAATATTGACTGAGTAAATTGTAGATTAGAGTAGGTAAAACTTGTATAAGATAAACCATAACCATAGGGATATAGTGGATCATAGTTGATATATCGATATGTTCTACCTTCCATAGAATAGTTCGCTATTGGTGGAATCTGTAATGATGTATTTAAAAATAGCATTGTCAAGCCTCGATTATACGCCCTAGCAACTTTTTTAAAGCTGGCTTTCGGTGTCCGGGACAATAAATTCCAGTCAAATGTGGGCGAATCGTAGATTCTGTAGCGCTCCTCTTTATGAGTATCAGATCAATCCTAACAAGATTTCAGTCACACGGATAGAAAACTCTGCCAAAAATCGTTTGATAGTGTTCCTTGTTAGGGGAAGTCGAACAAATCAAACAAGTTTCAAAAACTCTCACCAATAGAGAGTTTACAATAACTGTCGACGGTGGAAAGGTGTGACGAATATATTCCCCAGTCCCCACATGAAATGAGGGCTTATATGAAACTCAAGAGCGGTAGGATTTAATTTCGTATTCCTGAAAGTATTGTAATCTTTTTCAGGCTACCGCTTCTCACATGTTCGGTTCAATTTCACGCATTATAATAATTTGCTTTACCTGTTTGTCACTTGCCGGCCATGTACATGGTAATCTGCCTGCTGGAACAGAATCCAGGCCGTTCATTGTAACAACGTTCAACAGTGCTTCTCCTGTAGCTTGAGAAGGGTAGAAAGCTTCTAGGATAGCAACAACTCTGGGATTACTATCAGCCCATGTTATATCAACCGGTCCGGCATTAAACAAGATAAGTAGAACGGGTGTTTTAGATGGACCTAGAAATATAAACAACTCTAGGATAACTATCAGCCCATGTTATATTAACCGGCCCGGCATTAAACAAGATCAGTAGAACCGGTGTATTAGCTGGACCTAGAAATAAAAACAACATATCCAGGATTAAAACAACACCTATCGTCTTTAATTTATTTTTAGTAAGGACAAATCGAAATCTCTCAAGGTTAAATGACACGATTTGGAGAGAAAAATCGGGATTGACGTCCATTCCACACAAACCCAACCCCCGACACGATTTGGTGGCAGCAAGTAAATTCAATGGGTAGCAGGGGGTGATCTTTATATTTTTTATATTTGGAGCATATTTTGTGTAATCATTGAAACAAGCAGAGTACCTACTATTATTGACAGCATCCTGTAGGATCTGTGACTGATTAACGGGAAGCTCAATTGTATGTCTATCTAAGCCCTCTCTTTCAATATCATTACCTATATAAAGTATAAAATAGATGTAAATAGCATGTTTTCTTCATATAAATATTATGTATTTAGCATTTTCAGATAGTACAATCTATAAACTTTACACACTATAGCTATCAAAACTGGTTAGTTTGGAGTTCACGTCAGATCAAAGAGAAGTTTTCAACAGAGGAAGCAGATTTCAACATACCAAGCCCAAGACAAACAATTACAAAGTCAACACCGTTCACAGCTTGTTTCAGACCCGCTTGGTCATAAGTCTGGCATCTAGTGCTTCCAATACACCCAGGATTATACTGAACAGAGTTTCCTAATCTTGATAGGTTCATCAATGGTGTAGTCGTGTAGCGTGGATCAACTGGTGGTGAGTAGTTAGCTGTCTGAACCTTTGAATTATTAGCCAAAGGGCCAACAATCTATAGACAAGAATTGAAAATATATAACAATGCCGAAATGAATGTAATTCAATACAGTGGTGAGTGAAATGCACCTTCTTTTTATTAGAAAATATAAAAATAATTTGCAATCGGTGCAAAAAGGTACAGAGCCAAGTTCAAAGTTTTCTCCGTTAATTTCGCTTCATGGAAAGCGCAATATTAAAAAAAACGGGCGGTAATGTACAAAACAATAATCCTAATTATACCAAGGACAGTATATATGGCATTTCTATATTGGCAATACAGATATAATGTTAATGCAAATATTATCTAGTACTCACCGCAATTTTCTGGAATTGTGTTCCAGATTTCAAAGGGAGAAAGTTATTTTCGTTTTTAAGAAGAACAAAGGTTTTCATAGCTGTTTGTATGGCGAGTTGTCTGTGTTCTGGACTTTGTACAACTGATAGATTTAACTGCTTATATGGATTCATCTCTGGTGGATCAAATTCTCCTAACTTCATTCTGGTGTACCACATGGGTTTCATCATTTCTCTTACTTTAGATTCTTGAAGCTTTCCTTCCGAGACAGCCTGACCTTTAAAAGCACAAACGGCATTTCCACAAACAAGAGTTTCTCCGTAATATCTAAATATTGTATATTCAACAAACTTTAATAAATGCTTCGTGTTAACGTATTATACATTCTAATTAATTTCCGTACGGAAAAACAAACTAAAGCCGTGTTACCCAAAAAAGGCTAACTTTAAATAACAAACAATATAGAGGGATGATTATCAAAAATTTAAAAATAAATCAGTTACCAATGGATTGGTAGACATTCAACAAAAAAGGGAGACCGAGTTCAATATTACATCCAGCATTTACACACGCTGCTGCAGCATCTACACTGTTGTTTCTGTAGTTGAATTTAGTTACAACATTAGAAACAGCATCCGCGTCGCTTATAACATAACCTTTGAATCCCCATTCATCTCGCAGAATATCCGTTAACAATTCTTTGTTTGCACACGATGGTATACCATTTATGCTATAATTGAATACAAAATAATTACGTTTTATTAGAGATCACCTGTATTAAAGACATTCCTGCGAGCGACATTCGTATTGGACAAATATAAATATAGGTTGCCAGACAATAAAATATACGCCCACTAGTAAAAGGGAGCGCCTGGATCCAGTCAAGACCATTAAATTAAAATTGTCAGACAATAAAAGATACGCAGCCGAACACCAGTGGGCGTTTGGATTACCAAAAAAAAAAAGAAAAATTCAAAAGAAAAACATTCACCTAACATTGACGATTGTGTCCACTTTCTCATTGACGTTATCATCCGCAATGTTTAATTTGTTTACGGTAGCTCTTCTATTATCCACACATACGTTCTGATACAGTTTTCTGATCACTTATATTTAATACAAACACTGACCTACACAACGAATGAACGGACCAACGAATGGCTGACGTCATGTACCAACGCACTGACATGTAAAATACCTACCTATTATAACTACACATGATATTGTAAGTTCCAGCTTTAACACAAGCTCTGAACGCTGGTAGAAATGTTGTTCTCCAATCTCTCATGTTAATCTGTAAGGTAGACACAATACAAATTGTAGAATAATAGAAACATTCTGTACACAGATTGTAAAGGACAGCGCATATGCATGTTTACCTGTGCATCAAAATCGAGGTATTGTGGTCCAGCCCAGCCATCAAAATGTTTACATCCAGCACTTGTTAAAAGATATCGTGGATGATCACCTTGGAGACCCTGGACGAAAGCACTGGCTAGTACACCACTAACATAAGGATCTTCTCCATAGGTCTCCTAAAGAAGAAAGGCGTGCATTGCATGATTAGAACAAAGGTTATAGGTAGATCTACAGTCGGGGAAAATTAACGAAATGCTGATGATGATAATTCAGTGCCACTACAGCTATCCAAAAGAAATAATGATATATCCCATAGTTCTTACTTCATTTCTGCCCCATCTAGGATCCCTGGCAATATTTATAACTGGACTCAAACAGCTGAGACCCCTGCCAACGGTATATGAACCGTCGTTATTGAACACAGTGTTATGAGCTCTGACTTCTGTACCAGTTGCTCTAGCTACATTAAAGATTACTTCCTCGCTGCAAAATATAACGTTTCTAAATTATATATGGAACTAATACCGGATTATAAAGTTAAAAAATGTCAAATCGAATAGAAACAGTATAGATTAACTACACAGCCAATTATTTTGATTATCATATTGTCAGCAAATGCTTCACCGAGAATTCTAACTATAATGTTTTAGAAAACGACTAATGATAAAAAAAATAATCGAAACTTTAAATGAGTAAATATTATACCTAAAAGAAGCCGCTAATCCAATGGCTTCAGGAAAACCAGTTCCACCTGCATCAATATCTCCTCGAAGACATTCCGTCCACCATTCATACGGGTTGATTCCAAGTCTTGGAATCGGATCAGTCCCATTTGTGCCCCTTGACATTTGACCAACCATTTCAGGAATGGTTAATCTACTAACTAAATCATCTACTCTTTCTTCCCATGTTAAAGATAAGTTATAGAAGGGGAAATCGGGAAACCCATAGCAAAGCGATACAAAATTTAGGAACAGCAACACGGTTAATCGAGCTGTCATGGTGTCAACAACGTCCCGTGGAGGTCTTTCGGGTTACTAAGTTGAATAAAAGATAAATATATATTTTAAAGTATAAAAATTAAGGAGTGTCTGTACAATCAACAGAGTTGAAATCTGGGAAGATATAACACGTAAAACTATATTGAGCATTGAGATTTCGTATCGCAAAACAGCTTTCGCCATTTGCGATTTATCTATATACTATATGGTTTTGTTTTCTTTGTATCCTACCTCGGAAAGTGTATCCTACCGACTATATAGCGCTCGTTTGTGTAGTTTTGGGATCAAGACTCACCAGATCGCCATCTTTATCTCCAGAATTAATTCCAAAACAACAGTAAGGACTGATATGTGATTTGTTTAAATATGGCATTAGCAATGACAGCTATAAAAAGTGAAACTTTACAGCCTTATCAGCTGGTACGTACGAGGACATATTTGTCATGAAGCCTTTCAAGTAATATGGCAAATTTTTGATCTTCGTTTGTTGTTAAAGGTTTTGGAGAAGTCATACATCTTAAGCTTGATAAATTTTGTCCTTCTGATATTTTGGACCCTATATTCCGGATGAAATGATCGGTAATATAATAGACATTTCTTATTATACAGAGAGAAATAATGGAACATATATTAGTTCGAATATGATGTAGACCAAATGGGTTGTATAAAGGTTCAGTGTTGGAACACAACCATGATGCATATTTGATGGTGTGTAATGTCAGTGACCATAATTCCGACTACTGTTAGGTTTGGAATAAATGGATCACGTTCACAAAATTGCACGAAGAGCTTAATAAATTACCTACAAACTGGAATAGTCTAAGACGCTACTCTTTCTAAATATCCTACTGGGTATGCCCTGAAGAAATTCCTTCTACTGGTCGGTGTTGAATAAATGGATTCATTCACAAACTTACACGAAGAGCTTAATAAATTACCTACAAATTGGAATAGTCCAAGGCGCTACTCTTTCTAAGTATCCTAATGGGTATTCCCAGAAGAAATTAGAACCAATTTGTTTTTCAGAAAATGTATGAATGACGATAGCAGTTTTATAGATATCTTCGTTCCCAGATTTAACTTCTGTTGATCGTAAAACTTTGATAGCGTTATCTGATTGAATGCAGAACACTCCTTTATTTTTTATGCTTGATATTATATATACTGATCTTTATTCAACGTGAAAACCCCCCCACTGGACTCAATTGACATCATGATAACGCGATTAATTGTATTACTACTGCTAAATTTTGTAGCGCCCCGCTATGGGTTTCCTGATTTCCCCTTCTATAACGTATCTTTAACATGGGAAGAAAGAGTAAATGATTTAGTTCGTAGATTAACAATTCCTGAAATGGTAGGCCAAATGGCAAAGGGCACAAATGGGACTCATCCAATTCCAAGACTTGGAATCAACCCGTATGAATGGTGGACCGAATGTCTTCGAGGAGATATTGGTGGAGGTGGAACAGGTTTTCCTGAAGCCATTGGATTAGCGGCTTCCTTCAGGTTTAATATTTATTCATTTAAAGTCTCGATTTCTTTATCTATTGTACGAAAGGGCTTAAATTAATAATCATCAGTTTATAAAACATTACATTTAGAATTCTAGATGAAACATTTGTTGTCAATATGATAAAAAATAATAATCATTGGCTGTATAGTTTAATATATACCGCTGCTATTCGATTTGACATTATTTTAGGCTTTTTAATTTGGTGATATTTTCATAATTGAATATACTTTCCATGGTTTAGAAACGCTATATTTTTCAGCGAACAAGTAATCTTTAATGTAGCCAGAGCAACTGGTATAGAAGTCAGAGCTCATAACACCGTGTTCAGTAAAGACGGTTCATATACCGTTGGCAGGGGACTCAGCTGTCTGAGTCCAAATATAAATATTGCCAGAGATCCTAGATGGGGCAGAAACGAAGTAAGAACTATCGGATATATCATTATTTCTTTTGAATAGCTGTATTTTTTAAAGGAAAAAAAACACAAATATGGTGGCAACGAGTTAAGATGTTAAGATCATCAGCATTTGATTTGAAAAGTAAAATCATAATTATATTTCCCCGATTGTAAATCTACAAAGCATTTGTTCTAATCTCGCAATGCACCTTTTTCTTCTTCAGGAGACATATGGAGAAGACCCTTATGTTAGCGGTGTACTAGCCAGTGCTTTTGTTCAAAACACGAAAAACGGGAAAATGTAGGCCTCTGATATCCAATATTTAAGACAAAATAAATATTTACCATTGGTACACGAATCGTGTACCATGGTACGTTTCAGTGTCAGTTGTAACAAGTGACCAGAAAGAACGAGGCTAGACATATTCCACAACTCATGTCAAACGGTGACGCCATGAGAGCATACGTAATAAACTGGAATAACCAGACGCTACAAATAGCGATTCGTTTGAGACTCATGCCATATTTCGCTGGAGATAACTGATTTGAAATTAGAGTCAAAACGGAAACAATTGAATGCAAATCAGTTTATATACAATCAGATTACATTATTATATGCGTTGCGACCCATTTGTGTCAATTTCTAGGTCCCAAACATTAGTGATTTAGCTCCTTTAACAATCCGTGTAAAGAATGTTTCTATTATTCTACAATTTGTATTGTGTCTACCTTACAGATTAACATGAGAGATTGGAGAAGAACATTTCTGCCAGCATTCAGAGCTTGCGTTAAAGCTGGAACATATAATATCATGTGTAGTTATAATAGGTAGGTATTTTACATGCCCATGTCAGTGCGTTGGTATATGGCTTCAAATATTGGTTGGTCTGATCATTCGTTGTGTAGATCAATGTTTTGATAAACATACAAGCGCTGACTGAAAAGTTCTAAGCCTGTTTGTGAAGGAGCTGTACAAAGTCAGTGGTTTCCATTTATTTTACTACGTAGTCGATTTGAGGTGGACACACTTTTGATAGCGATGTTGCAAGGCTTGGATGTCGGTCAGGAAGAAATTTTCTGCAGCCACCTTAAAAAAAGTCGTTCACAGCTGGCATGTCGTCATCATTAGGAAAATGACCACCGGCTAGTTCCATTTTCATTTCTGGAAACAGGGGCATAATCCATGGGTACAAGTCTCGCCAAAAATTATCAGGATTTTTCTTCAAAAGGCGCAGATTGTTACGGGGCGCCAGGAATCTGACATGTTTCTGATTCGCCGTCATGAGATTTGGCACCCATCTTGCAGAAATTTTTGTTATTCTTAACTCGTTGGCGGTAGTGTGCTCAATGTGATAATGGGGGATGCCCACAACACTGGCAATATGTCGAAAGGACAATCGTCGATCAGGCATCACCATGTCATGCACCCGGGTAATGTTTCATTTTGACGGCCGTGCAGGACGCACGTCAAGCCTCTCTCTGCCACGCTTAAATTCTGTAGTCCACATCTTTACTGTGGAAAACGAACAGGCATCATCCCCTAAAGTGGAGACCATGTCAGCATGTATCTGTATTGGGCTTAGAACTTTTCAGTCAGCCCCCCCGTATATCATCACTATTTACAAAGTGTTTAGACAACTGTGAGCATTCAACATATATGCTTATAACTATGAGAAAGACCCAGTACCGGAGCTACGGGGACAACGTGGAACAAACATGGGACACTCCACATTGGGAGGAGGGTGGGGGGTATGCTGGGTCCAGTCCAAGATCAAAAGATATTCTAATTTAGATGTGGAAATATGAAGGTCATTCTCTTTGCCTTCATTTGGTCCGCAGTCGAATCTATTTTTCTAAGCTATTTGGGGGCTTCGCGCCGATCTGGACCATACAGTTTTTTAATCCCCCGCCCCCCATTCTCCTATTGGCTCCCCCCCCCCACCCCGCAACCCCCATCAACCCACCCTCCTTAAAAAACAGAGGTTATTCCGGCCCGAGAAAGACCGTAACAAATATTTG